AAGGGACCAGAACTCATAGGGATCATTTACCTGTATGAAAACTTCAGATTCTCAGTATCCCTTGGCCTCCTCTTCTGCAGCTTCTTCTCTACAGCAACCTCTGCCTACACTTCTGTCTTTACTATAGCCACTTCTCTGGCTTCAGCCTCTTCCACAGCTGCCTTTGTCTCCTTGCCCAACACTCTTGTGGTTCTCTCCTTCTCCTCATCCTCATCCCTCACTACTTTTGATTTCTTTCTAAAAAGAAAACCTCACTCTGTTTCTAAAATTCTGGCAGCCTAATCTTGCATCTTCATTTCACATATTTGTTCCTTGTCTGAGCCCTCGTGTAAGTCCTTGTAGTCCCAGGGACAGCTTCTCATCCCTACCATTGTACCCAACATATCTCTCAGTATTTTCTCCTGCTCTGTAGCCTTGCAGAGCTCAAGATGTAGTAATTGGGTGAGGTCTCTTTCTCTGTTCAGCAAGGATTCCAATTTTGCTCTTTCATTTTTCTCTCTCTATTCAGACATCTCTGTAAGTGGTCAGACAAATCTCATGGATGTTTTTATAAGGACGCAACCAAGACTTCCAAATGTTTTTGCAAATGTTTTGCAACCAAATTTTGTGGTAATTTGTCTCTCTTTTGCTATCTAAACATTTTAGTAAAAAAAAAAGTCTGTCTCATCTTGCTCTCTGTATGAACATTGTTGTAAAAAGTCAACCAAATTTTGTACAAATGTCTCTCTCTTTTTGCTTTCTATCTAGACATTTTAGTAACGAGTCATTACTCTTTTTATCCTTTTGGGTTTCCATCAGCATGACACTCAGTGCTCCACATATGAAGATGAGCATACTTCCATAATGGGAAAGGGATCCATGCTTGGCATTTCCTGGGCTGTCATGTCCTGCTTCTCCTGTTCCTGACTCATCCTGTACCCCAGTCAGAGAAAGAGATACCTGAGCCCATCCGAACTAAAAATAGCTCAAGAGCTGTTCAGTCCCTCCCAGTCTCATAAGAGACCTTTCTGTGATTCCAATTTGCTACAAGCCGTTGGTAGGAGTGTGATGTTTGTTGTAAATTCTTACCAGTCTAACGAAGCCGCCAGACCACATGGCTGGGGAGCTCTTGTGCTTTATTGTACAGTTGTTATAACTGGCAACCCCCACCATTAGACTCAAAAGGTGTTGGCTAACAAGCCCTTCATTTTGTACAGTGGGGGGAAAAATATGACAGTCGTGCTTTGCCCAGGTGGGAAAAAAGAGAGATGTTCAGTATCTATAGATTCCTGCAGTTGGTCCTGCTGCATGGATGGTCCAGAGCTGGAAAGATAAGAAAAAAGTGGGCGAGGGGCCCAATGTGCTTCCTTTTATAGTTGACCTGGTGCAGTCTCTTACGTGAATGAGACTTTTCATGCTATTTTGTTTGCACATCCACAGGCAGCCCTTTGAGCCTTTCTCTGGGAAGTCAGTTTGGGGGGACTAAGCAGGAGGAGGAGGCTGGCTCAGAACAGTGCGACTCCATCTCCATGGGACCCTTTTGTTTTGATCACACTTTTCCTGTCATAACAGTCAGAATATTTGAGACAAAACATACTTATGTTATGTGTATTACTCCACCGGACTGCTTTTGGAAATACATCAATTTTTCTTTTTTTGGGTGAAAGATAGGAAGTTACAAAGTAGTGTTTACTGCCTGTTAAACTGTAAGCTTTAATTCACTGGTTCACTAGTCCACTCTTAAGATTTAAATTGCTAAAATTATAAGTTAGGGATGTGTATGGAAAGAAGGTTGTGTTTCACTTCAAGGTTGTATTGTTTTTTCTCTCTGTTTTTTGTTTTTAAGGAATAACTCCTTAAAGGTGGTCTAGAGTCACACCTTTTCAGAATCCTTCTAGGATATATAGTAAATCCAAATCAAGTGCAAGTCTGTTTAATGGACTTGGTCTTTTCCTGTAAAAAGAGCCTCCTACCTCTTAAATAATTTTTTTCCTGAAAATGGCTTTTGTTTGCCGTTGCTTACAAATCAGTAAAGTGGACACAGAACATAAACTGAGATTGATTCTCACTGAATTACTAAAACCGTGAAAAGTAGGTAATAGCTGAATGTTTGTATTGTGCTTTGGGTTATTAGACTTCTTGAACATTTCTAACCTTACAGTTCAAGTAAACTGCTTTTTCAAAGCCCCTTTGACAGGAAGTAACTTGAAAATCAAATAGTATTTTATTCCACATATTTGGGACAAAATTAATTGTAAAAATAATTCATAATGAACTTGAGACAGGTTTCACATTTCAAGTGTCTTTATTGTTAGAATGTATAAGCATGCCATAGAAGAAAAAAGGGGGGTAAAAACCTCTCTGATAAACTAAGGAGCAGTTGTTTCTGTTGCTCAGGTGACTGGGGCTCAATAAGCTGCACACTAGGTCTTTGATGAAGATTACATTTAACATTCTTTTATCTTGATTTATCTTTTTCTGTCCTTTCTTTTATGTACAGTTATTGCATACTGCAGAGTGGGATGTGCAGAAATAAAATAATTGTATGTGAAACTGTTATTGTGCTTGCCCTTTTACAACTTTGGTTGAACAAGATGATGTGTTCCCTTTGCATGTTTGGAATGACAGGAAAATATCTAAGCCTTCTTACAAAAATAAGGCAGTTCCTAAAGGCTGTCATTCTGTAAATGAACTACAAGCACATGTTTTTTTCACTTTTACTAGAGAGGATAAAAGTGTTTAATTGTCTCTCTGCTCAACAAGATTAAGCTTCAGTCTTTAGCTCTGTGTTCAGCAGATGTGTTTGTCTGTTTAAGAACATTGCCTTCTGGAGATTTATCAGGACTGTTTTCTGCTGATGGCTGGGACAAGCAGCATTCATGGAAAAGAGGGTGTGTGTGTCAGAAATTGGAAGTTATTTCTTTTACCTAGATTTTTTTAAAAAATCTATTCCTGTAAATTTATTACATACAAGCTGTTTCTATCCTTTTAATGGGACCATGTTACAACCACAAGGAGTTAAGTTGTTAATGTACCATCAATTGAGACAAAACTGTATAATTGAACAAGATTAAACTTCCTATAAGCCAGTGTCTTGTGTTATTATAAACTCTGCAGACATGCAGAGTTTTGTGGACTAAAATATTTTTTTCTTAGCTGGCAGAATCATAAGTTTTAATTAGGCATTATGGAGAGTGTGTGGTGTATTTTGTAACTAACAGACTTGTATACTACAAGCAAACTAATTGCTAAATTTGTGTTGTTTCCTAAAAAGTTAAAATATTTCAAATGCTTTATAGCATTAGTGGGTTTCCTCATACCTCTGAAAGCTGAGTACTAGAGGCTGACAGCTGTGCTGATTTGCTTTGATTCATGTTTACAGTAAAGTCTTATTTAGGGAATATCTCTCTTGAATAATTGACCATAAATTTAATGTGTCCTTCTCATAAACTCTAGCTAGACCTTTGGTGGCCCCGTTAGTCTTACTAAGTAATTAATTTTTTGAATAATGAACACTTGCTTATTTTAGAAAATTCTTGCTCACTTCTTTGCAAAGAATACAATATTCAGTTATGTTGGTTGCTCTGGAGTGTAAAAAACATACAGTAAATTCTACTTGTTTTTTGCAGAAACTGTAACATTAGTCCCTCTTTACTTTTAGGCTTCCACCTTTGGCATCCTGACAAGATCAAATGCATAAATGTTCACTGTCAGGAACTCTGACAGCAATTGGAAAAAACTAAGTCTTGGAGGAAGATGGGTTGAGGAAGAAGACTAAATTTCTCATTTTTGCACATTGGCTCATAGTTTTTATGCCCTGAATGTGACACTGAGAAACAACACAGGTTTATAAACTTGTAGCTTCTGAAAATGATGATGTGAGGAAAAAGATGAGTACTTTGTCCAAGCTTTTCCAGAAAATTGATGTTCAGCAGTACCAGTTATTGCTGATAACTGTATTAACAGTTACTTACTATATGCTGCAGTTCTGGTAGTAACAAAATGTCACTGATGCATTGGAAGATCACAGAATCAATTAGGCTGGAATAGACCTCAAAGAGCGTTGAGCACAACCTCTGACTGAAGACCACCATGACAGCATGTCACTCAGTGCTGTGGCCTGTCTTTCCTTAAACAGTTCCAGGGATGGTGACTTCACCACCTCCCTGAGCAGTCCATTCCAATGTCTTAACACACTTCCTGTGAAGAAATTCCTCCTAATGTGCAACCTAAACCTCACCTGGTGGAGCTTAATCTTAAGATCATGTTACATATCATGAGAAACAAGGAGTATCTTCTAAAAGAAATTACTTCAAGAATCTTGTGCTAATGGATCTTTTCAAAGGGTGATATTCAAGAAGTTTGGGTTTCCATTTAGGCTGCACATGTGTTCCTCTACTTAATCTCATGTCACTTCATTTCGTTCTGTGAGACCCTGACACACTGGCATGTTGAACACAGAAATAAGATTTCCTTAATGTGCATAAACTATGAACTTATTCTAGGGCTTTTTTTTGCTAGTTTTGGATTTATAGTTTGGAATGGTGATACTTGATTTCTGCTAAGCTGTTACTATTTGGTGGAAGGACTTGGTATTTTTTGTTAAGATCCTAGGATAAGGCTTCATCCTTAAAAAGATACATCTGTTGAGTATTAGGTATTTGGAGGTTCTTTTCAATCTGTTAAGCTGCATATTAATGCCACTTTCTGAGAAACGTTGGACATTCCATCCACGTGCTTTGGACAAACAAACTAATTTTTACCTATTCCATTGTGCATCTTTTATTTGCTTTGCCTGTTGAACTCTGGTCCACTGGAGCAATACAAGATGTAAATATCCCTATAAGCGCTAGTCTCACCTGAGAAAGTTTAATTTTCTTTGTTTCTAAATTGCCAGTCATTTCAGAAGAAACATTGAAACTTTGTGTGGCTTGGAAGCAGTGGGGCTAGTTTGGTTGGTAATAGGTTAGTGTATTAGTTTTTAGGCTTTGTTTTAAATGTTGTTTTTGTTTTTAAATCAGGAGCCAATGAAGTCGAGAGCACCACAGCTACATTTGGAATACAGATTCTACAAGCAGCTAGGATCTGGAGGTAAAAAGCAGTGTAATGCATTTTACTATGATGTAATCCAGGGTCAATTCTTGGCTGAAGTTTTCGGGTTTAGGGGTACAAATCTATTTAATAAAGTGTTCCTAAATATTTAAGGCAGAAAAAAGCCCCATGAGTTAGTGGATTAATGTATAAATTCAAGTATTCTAACTTTTTTTTTTTCCTGCTCTATGAAGTATATCTATGAAGTCCTCACTATTTAATAAATCCTACCTATCACAGCATTTGTCTGCATACAGGTATACCTTAAGCTAAGTAATCTTAGACTATTCCCAATTCAACTCTTTGAAAAAATACTGTAGATCTCCAAACTGCTAATCTACTAATCATGTATTTTGAGTTAAAGCTGATGTGATATTTGAATAGCTTCAGATTCAGTTTTACTTTACTTAACTTTTATTGATACAGTATGTATTGCTGCTTAGTAATTTTAAACCTCTTAAATACCTCTAGGAAAAGTTTAAATGCAGTTTAATATTTGAATTTCTGATTTCACTCCTCTTGGTGCTTTTATACCCAGAAGTACTTTTTACAGTGGTCGTCTGAATGATCCAATTGTCAGATTTTGTTTTTATAAGTGAGCGATACCTAAAACTTTTCACATATTTTTGTGCCTTTCACAAAACTGCATGTAATCAGCTAGGAAGATGTGAAGTGTCTTACCTTAGTGAGTACAGATTTTTCTAAATCAGCTGTAACTTAGGAAAAAGAACACTTTTGACATATTTTCATTGAAATTATTCCTAGAGTAGGTCATGTAATTAGCTATTTTTCCTATTTTTTACTAATGTAGAAGTTTATTTTATGAACAGACTACTAGCAGTGGTTTTCTACATGTGTGTTCAGGGGCTTTTTAACAAAGCAGCCTGGAATTTGCAACAGTGATTTTAGTTCTGCTTAAACTAGAATAAAATCCTACTTAGTATGAAAAGTTATCTCCAAAAAGAAATACACAGTGAACATACCCATACCACTTTGATTTTGTTACCTTGAATATGTGTGTGTTATGATGAATGTTAATACGTTTTAATTACTATTTTCACCTTTTTCCTTAAAATTCAGGATTATATTCTCATTGCTGCACTGACTGGATAGTGTTTCTCAAGTAGCTTGCAAAATTTTATGCTAGTCTTCTAAGGACTATATCTGGTGAAGCAAAGTTTCTAATATGTTCAATTAATACAGACTTTTTTTGCCTGCTGTACTATGAATGTTTTACAACTAGGAATTTTAGAGATTACTTTTGACAAAACACAACATTTCAATTTCTTTTCATAGATGGAAATTAAAGTTGTAGATAGATAGTCAGAATCTTGAGTTTATATGCTTGTTGTTTGGAGAAAGAGTATGATGTATGGGTGTTTTGTTTTTTTTTTAAGTAGTTATAAATTGTCAGCTTACCATACACTAGCATTGTGCAGTAGCTGATGAGTAGAAAGCTGAGATCTTAAGTGATTAACTCATGGGACACGACAAACTGCACATTAGCTACATTACCTGTCTGTGAATGTAGAGGTGTAACCATCTCGAATTGCAAAGGAGCTGTCTAGTGGAGGTAAGAATAAAACTATAATTTCTAGTTCAGACTGCAGAGATTAGGCAGTGCTTCTCAGAGGTAGGAACCCTTATAGGAGTATTTATTGGGAAAATGTCTTAGTGAATGTAACTATGTTTACTTTTTTATTTACTGAGTAAGACTGGGAACTAGTCAAGTCAAAGTACTCTGCTTTGCTTCAGATATCATTCAATCTTCTTAACCCTATTTGCTGGTTGCAACAACTTTTATCTCTTTCTCTGATGCCTTGTTGAAGTACTGAAAGGGAGAATCACATCTCCGGTTCTTTTCATGAAGATGAGGTGACCTTTAGGGTGAAAAAGCAAAGGTAGAGCTGGTGACTTACTAAGCATCATCAATATTTATGAAGAGCTTTGTTATAGACCTCCTTTGTTTTTGCAGTAACCTGCTTTTATTCAAAAGCGAAAGCCTCTCCCAGCACAGAACATTGAAAGCTCCTTTGTGAGCCTTTGTCAGGCAGTCTACTTGAGGCTTATTTTAATGGTTTTTGTGGCAAGGGCTTATTATAAAGAAAGTAATTTTCTTGTTCCTGTCCACATAGAAGTTAAAAATGATTATTGATTTCTTATCTTCTGGCAGCAGTCTCTTTTTCTGTATTTTTAGGAGTTGGGCCCTCAAGCTGAGGAAGTTACACAGCCTGTGATTTCCAGAAAAATAGTTGCAGCATTTTGTAGTTTGTGTTCTCATGTAATCTGTGGTAATTTGTTTTTGTTTACTGATTTTTCATGACATGCTGTCAAGCATAGATTTAAATAATTTTATCTCATGAACAGTTGAAAGCATAGTGTTGGAAAGTTGATCCACCAAGAGATAAATTCAGAAGGCAAGTATGTGAACCTCCCATGTAGAACAGGAGATAGTAGAAAAAAACTTACACCAGCTCTATCCATATGGAGAGTATTGCTTTATGGGCAGTGGTTGTACTTTGATCAGAGAGAGAATAGATTGAAGGAATTGATCATCAGCATGCAAGTTGCAGAAAGTTCTGTCACAGGAGATATAAAAATAGCTGCCATTGCTGGAAGACATTTGAAATATAGTAATTGTGAAGATAGGAGGTTTCTCTCATACACAGTTATGCACCGTACTTGGAGTTACAGCTGTCTGAAGCTTTCCATCTTTCAAGTTTCTAAAAATCCACAATTGCAGGCTTTCTTAGGATGAAGTAGTCTTTTCTTTAGTTGTTTTTGTGTATTCGCACAAACGTGTAGTAATTTGGCTGATAGCTTTATAACTGTGTGGACTATGTATTTTGCATTTAATTTTACTAAATTGCACTCCCCCTTGTTCTCCTCATGTTTACATGTATACTTGTGTGTTTATAGCAAGTGACTACTAAACTGTGGTTTCAGAAGCAATTGGTGAAAAGGGAGTTGTCCTTCCAGTACTTCTTCCCAGTCTTGTCAGTAGAGCCATTATTTTCTATAAAACCCCATGATTTTCACAAATATGAACAACAAAATCCACAGTTTATGCTACAAATTAACTTACACTTAGTGTGAAACCTGCAGCTTAAGGGATAAAATTCCTGTAGGTCCTGTGAAATCCCACTTGACTTGGAGATGGCAGGAGGAGGAGGGAAAGGCATTAGCATATGAATGAATACTTCTAAAAGAAAGTTAGGTTATTTTCTGGCAATATGTCCTGAAAGCAGGTAAAGAAAATGTTACTGTGTTTTCAGATTATTTTACTTTCAAACCCTTCTTAACAGAGCATCTTTGTACTTCCTCTGATTCTCGTAGGCATCCTTGATGAAAAGAGTAGCATTTTGAAATTGTATGTTTTCATGGTATTTCCTTACCTGCAGCCAGTATTTGTCTACTAAGTCTATTTATTTATCTTTATAATATCCCTTTTTCTTGCTCTCCTAATGACCTTGTAGCTTGGGGTTTTTTAAAAGTATATATTTGTATTATTAATCTCTGTGCTAAGTCATGCTATTTTGTGTCTTGAATGCCATGAAGATGGAAGACATTCTTAACAGAACAAAAGATTAGAGGTTCTTTTATAGTTCTGCTCACCGAGAGAACAAGGAAAAAATAGGCATGAAATATGATAGATGTTTTTATGCACAAGACTTTGGAACTGAGAGTATTAATTCTTTGTATTTAAGAAAAAGTGGTTTTGTCTTGCCTGAATAAGAATTAACATTTCAAAACCATATTCCTTTGGAGAGGATCTGCTCATAAAGAATGCCTAACTGTAACTTTACTCTTAAATACGCTCTTTGAATTGTCTATGAATGTGCAGCAACATGGAAGTGTAAGTCAGGAAAAAAATATGAAGAATCGTTCTTAAAGAGAAAATACTTTCTGTGCTTTTGGGCTTTTTGAAATGTTTTCGGTTTTTTAAGGAAATGGACCTCTAACTTATTAAAAGCAAGTTTTAAAATTAGTTTTAAGATGTGGATTATTTTAGTCTCATTATTATTTCATTTAGGTTTTATATCTAAATAAATATTTTTATGAAATTGCTTTCACTTTTCTGTGATAATTTTGTCATTCAGTAACTATGAGCATGTTTTCGTCCAGAAGTTTGAGATCATTAGCCAGTATGCAGAAGTTCTAGTCAATTGAATGAGGAGCATATGGATGGAATCTAGAATATCTTTGCTTCGAATGAATTTTGTTTAATGTGTATTTTCCTAATATGCAAGTATAAGAAAAACTGCAATACGATCATAAGTGTAGTACTCCAAATAAAATGATTGCTGAATTCTTACCTGAAATTGCACTAAGGCTTTTGGAATTAGTAGAAAATGTTTTTGTATTTTTTATTGATTTTTGAATTCATCTTTCATGCTATCAGCCTTTCTTTGCATGGTTAGAAGATAAGGTGTAGGTGTATTTCATGCACTATGCTGTAATTTAAGTGTCAGATAGGTATTTAAAGTATGATTCAGTTATCTTTTGCAGAAAGGAGTCTGTAAATGAGAGAAGTCATGTGTTATGTGTTGAAGAGTGTAAAACATACTCAGCTTTCCTTGTCTAATTTTTCTAACCTCCCTTAGTAAATGGGTCATTTTCATAATGACTGGGAGCCTTTGCAAGTGAATGAGAACTCTTTTGTTCTTACTTACCTGACAAGTGGACCAGAAGAATGGCAAGCACCTTCTGCTGGTTGAAGTGGCTTGGTAGAACCCCTGTTTGTAATGCTGCTGTTAGAACAGGCTTACTTAAAACAGTTCTTGTTTATAGCAGGGAGTGGTATCTATTATTAGACTTCATTTTTTTCATGTGAGGTAATTTTTGATGTCACAGATCTAAAAACAGGTGGTTCAGCAGTGGATTATCATACTGGTGAAACTGCTGTATTAATATTTCCAATAAGGCAGATGCTCAGTATTGTGAATTGGGTTTTATTTTTCTTAACTTTTGTACATCTGTTCTTTTAGCTGAAATCTAGT